CTGTCCATCATGGCCTCCTTACCCTCCCCATATCATAACTGGCTTCATGTCCTCTCCACCAATCAGCTGGTGAGCGGTCTGGCGCAAAATGGCTGCCGTCACTTCATCCAGGTGGTGTCGGATGAGGAGATTTCCCCACTATGTGTAAACCGCTCTGAGTGCCCAGAAAAACACTATAAAAATGTAAGGAATTATTATTATTATTATTATTATTATATGTGGAGTTTGCATGTTCTCCCCGTGTTCATGTAGTTTCCTCCGGGTACTTCGGTTTCCCCCACAAGTCCAAAGACGTGGTACAGGTGAATTGCTAAGCTAATATGTCCGCAGTGTGTGTGTGTATGGGTTGATGGGTTGCAGCTGGAAGGGCATCCGCTACGAAAAACATATGCTGCATAAGTTGGCGGTTCATTCCGCTGTGGCGACCCCAGATTAATAAAGGGACTAAGCCGAAAAGAAAACGAATGAATGAATGAAAATTAAGACAAAGAATTTTGTTGGTCGTCTTTTGTTATTCTGGAACCACCTTTGATATTGTGAAAAACAAACAAAACATTGATTCAAAATTGTATGGCAAACTTTTTTTTTTGTGGTTGCTGAGTTGACTCAACTTGAATGGAGTCAACTACAGTACCTGGGTTAAAAGTTAAATCAACTCAAAAGAGCTGTGCAGTAGGTTACCTACAAATGTTATTAGTTTAACTGAGATGTTTATATGTCCGTACTGCACTTTAACGAGGCCACTAAACTCCTCATGTCTTAATTCCAATTCTGTTTAGTTGATTATGACTTTAGTCGGATTAAGGTCATCAAAAATATCTGTTCACATGGTAGACTCTTAATCAGAATATTGTCGTAATGGTATTAAAATCAGAGTATTGGTGTACATAAACATACTCAATGATTAGTTCTCACCGTGTGATGTTCTTCGTGGTGAAGGAACTAATGAGCCACTCTATGTCCAGGACTTTGAATGGGGAAAGCACCAGGTAGGTGGAGTTGTCGAAATCCACAGCGCTCTCAGGATAGATAAACCGATGAGTGGTCTTAGACCCCACATCGTCCTCGTAGCCTTTTGTTGGGCCCATGTTTATCCTAACTTGAAAAAGCATGACTGGGTCAAGAAGCATGTGAAAGACGGGAGCAAATACAGTTGACGTCAAGGTGAATTTTTGTTTTCTTTTTCAAGCATTTCCCATATGATGTTTAACAGAGCAAGAAATTTCACACAGTATTTCCGATAATAATTTTTCTTCTGGAGAAAGTCTTATTGGTTTTATTTCTAGAATTTTTAAAAACTGTTTTAAGGTCAAAATTATTAGCCTGCTTAAGCTATTTTTTCAATTGTCTACAGATCCAATTACCCTAACTTCCCTAATTAATCTAGTGTTGGGGAATTTATTTGTTTTTGTCTTTTTGACTTTTTATTAAATAAGTGTAGCTGTATGATAGACATTACAACACGCCGTCCTTCAGGTGGTCTCGCCGGTATTAAATGAACAAGCTGTCCTGGTTTTTAATTAAAAAGTGCAATTATTTCCTCGCTGTTAAAAGAGTCTGCAAGTTCGTGTTCCATGGATGCAGCAATGTTGTTATGGCATTTGGACATCGATGAGGCTAAGCGTGTCTTTATTCGCTTTATTCGATGCGCAGCAGGAAAAAAAGTTTCAGCAGTGCATGTAGTCGCTGGTAGTTCTCTCCCGGATTAGATCGATTTATTTTTATTTCAGTTAATGACAATTACTTTACATTTTAGTTTTTGTTTTTTCGTTCGTTTTCGTTAACTAATAACCTTGGTTCAGAATGATGGAATTTACCTTCTATGTGCGATTTGATTGGACAGGAATCACAGGTCTGATTTTTCTAATCCCGATAGACAGGACAAAATAAAGTAGTGGCTGCATGTTGAAGGAAAGTAGTGGAGTAAAAGTACCGATACAGCACTAAAAATGTCATGGGAGAGTAAAAACTACTTAGTAAACTACAGTTTCTGAGAAAAACTACGCAATTACAGTAATTTGTGTATTTGTACTTTGTTACTTTACACCACTGAATGTAGAGACACATTTGTGTGTCCAAATGTAAATAAATTCATTTTTTACGAATCAAATAAGCTATCTGATCGGAAAAAATAAACGCGTGAAGCGACCAGGAGTAAACAAGCCCACAAAGATACCGAACCAAATGTTTTTAATCATGTCTCGGAAATCAAGAGTTGAAGAGTATCAGAAAAAATTGTTATTCATGTCATTCTTTACCTGATGACAAAGTTATGAGCGTCTATGAGACGTCCATAACGGGATCCTTTAAGGTTGCCGGAGTTTCCGATTATAGCACAAGTCCTGCAGCGGTTTGGACTCGCGTTTGTGTATCGTGTTTTATCGGGAAACAGAGAAAACATCTTTTCCACCACCGCTCTGTAGTCGCTGTCCTTCTTATTTTTCTGAAGCCCCTGCAAATGCCATGCAAAAGAGACTTGAATAAAGAGTAGATAGATCTTTTTATTTATATATATATATATATATATATATATATATATATATATATATATATATATATATATATATATATATATATATATATATATATATATAT